TTTGGGTGCACCCAATATTACGAGATAGACTGACGCATGAAATGTTTGCGACGTTGTATCCAAAACTAAGACAAAATAAATTCAAGTTTTTTAATTCTTTTAAAATATCTATAAAATCCTTTGACGATGGTTGGTCTCTTTTAGATTTCATCAATAAATAGATTAGTATCGAAATGATCGTTCTCCATTTCAGCACATATATCTCAAAGCGCTCGGCTGACGCCCGCAAAACGCGCGATCGCATGTACGGTAACATGGCAGCACATATATCTCAAAGCGCTCGGCTAACGCCCGCAAAACGCGTGTTTTAACAAAAATCTATAAACGCGTGCTTGGCCAAAAGCGCGCGTTTGAGTGTGTACGGCTACATAGAACTCTTGGTTCTTTAAAACGCGCGTTGAAAAACGCCTAGTGTGTACAGGCTCTAACCCTTTACAAATAAGTGCTATAAATAGACTCTCAGCTATGCCTGCATGAAATATAGACCTAACCAAATCAATCAAGACCGACAAGTACTTTATCCGCACCTTCCCAAATAATATGTTTCAATTGATTTGATTTCAATTTTAATTTACATTAATTAATTTTGATTTTATTTTTAATTTTAGCTATGATTTCGGTTTTTGTTTCGATATAAAGAACAGAGTTTTAAAATTTTAATTTAATTTTAAATTTAAGTTAAATATTTTAAAATTTAATTATTATTTTTTGTTTTAATTAACTGACTACCTAGTTACGTATAAATACAGTACAGATGATAACTTAACAACACTGAGCGTCAATTGCGATTTTCAGTCCCGCTCGGGCGGAGTATTTTTTCCATAAAATTCTAGTCCGCTAGTTTGATAATTCGGCAGATCGTCGGCTTTAAAACCATTTTTGATTGGTCCCCACATCTTCCTAATTTTTAAGCACATGGAAATGACCAAAAAAGTGAGAAAATGACCTGAAAAGTGAGAAAAGTGAGGATACTTCAGAAAAGTGAGTACAAGTGAGAAAAGTGAGCGACTTTGAGGCCTGAGAACAACAGAATACTAGTGAGGGACCAAACAGTTATTAAGAGCACCAGTGAGTCAGAACTGACTCTGTAATAACTGGATAACACTAATTGAAGTGGAGAAAAGTAGAACATTTGTCTTATTGAAGACGGCTTCATATATTATGGGTCTCGAAGTACACACTGAATCGACTGAATGACAATAGGTCAACGATGATTACTTGCAGAGGTTGTAAAGAAAAGTTACCAAATTAAGATGTACAATATTGCCAAAGTGTTACATCTAAAGCACACTATTATTCATGTCCTTGACACACTGCAGGACTTTGCTTTTGCTAAAACACACAAACAGGGCAGACAACTCTGAATGATTTCCAACCTTTACCATCGAGGAGTAAATATATAAAATACTAGCAGAGCACCTAACAGGATATAAATACTATCAAAAACTCACAAGAGGTATTAGCCCAATTAAATGAAATCACTTTGACAAATGAACATCTCACTATTTCTTTGCACATACCTATTTTTAAATTAGAGCCTAGTTTCTGTTCTCTAAATGACTTTCTATTTCAGATAGTTCCTGCAGTGCAATCATACCAACAACAAATTTTAGATTTGGCTCTTACACTATACTACAAATTCTTTACATTTAACAAACATACTTGCTAAGACAAAACATCCTGTGGGAAGCACAATTTCAGGGGATTTATGTGAATTAATACTTAGGGAACTAGAATGCAGAAAACTCTAGAAATTTTTACTGGATATTATCCTTTACAACTGTTATGTAGATAACATCCTAATTACATGGCAATTATTTATATGGTTCACTCACTCATTATGTGAATTAGTAGCTCAATATATCCAGATCAACTCACTTATGGAAAGATGAGTTGATCTGCAGCATTCTTCCCAAATCCTTTTTGCTGTGCATCCCACCCAGATGCTTTTTCTTGTCACCCAGTTGATGAACTTCATGAAAAGTATATATTAGTGATTGACCAATTATCATATCAGTATTGGAATTGACCAGTATTATGCAACTGATAATCAAATATCCAATCATCAGTTTTTTAAACTAATATCCAATATTTCTATTATTATAGGGATGACTAAATTAATTTTGTATAATAGCTCAGTTTGCTGATATTTTATGTTTTTAATATTCTCACATACATTGCTAATTAGTCTTCCTCAACATTTCTTTTAACAAAGAAAATGAGCACCAAACTGTCTCGTTCACCAACAGATACAAAGAATATTTTTAAGGAATGTGATCAAAGTCATGTGAGATGGCTTTAATCACATCCCTTAAATAATTGCCATATCATATCAGGCTGTATTACTATTAATATCACTACTATTATTTAAATAGTAAGTAATTTGGTACTAGAGCCAAGCTTTAGATGTCATCTTTTGCTAATAATTAAATTAATATTTTAATTATTAATTTAGAAAGAGGTTGTGGAAGANATAATTATTAATATTAATAAGAGATGGCGCCTAACGCTTACCTCTAGTACCAAATTGATTACGTAATTTATTTAATAATTAGCATAAAACTAGCCCGATAGATTTTCGGCAGTCTGTTGGTTGTAGCTGTACATTACACATATAATAATAAATACAGTATAGAGCAATTAATTACATAGTTACACATAAGCAATTTACAAATTCAACTTGTGTAAAATTCAAGTTGCATAAAGATCTAATGTGCATTACTTACATAACAAAAAAAAACAAATGACTTTTAAAAAAGAAGAAAAGGAAAGTAATAAAAAAGAAAAGAAGCAACTCATACACAGAAAAATCTGCATTTTTTGCATGTGCAAAAAAAACCAGGAAGTCATTTCAAATTTTGAGCTTACACATCTATAGATTAAACATATATTAAACCTATAAAGTTATTACCTGTGGCAGCCAGAGCAGTGGACTGTGACGGACTCAACTTCTCAGCCGGTCTAGCCAAATCTCCAATGCCAGCAATGACCAATGCCTATTTTAAAAACAAAATCGTTCATAAGTTGCAATTCTGTTTGATAAAAATTAATGATTACTTAACAAAAAGTACAAATATATATATATAATTATTTTTTTAACAAGGAATAAAAATACAGACTTGAATATTAAACATGAAATAGGATTGTTTTAGGCCTAAGATTTTGGGGTTTCATTCTTTCAGGATGCAAATGTGCCTAAATATACACTGCTGGCCATCCAAAATGCAACACCCTGAAGGAAGCATTGAAATCAAGTAAAATTTACATCATGTGTTTGAGGCTATGAGATATGCAAATGATTAGCATTTCAGTGCAGACGCACATCATGGGCACCTGTTGCACCACCTGCAAGCACTATATAAAGGGAGAATAGAAGGCCATTTTGAAGTAATGGAATTGTTCTTTTGTGCGTTTTTTTGGCATAAGCAGCTTCAGTATGCCACTCAGAAGAAAACGAGCATCTTTCTAGCATCTTTCTGAGTTTGACTGAGGAAGAATAGTTGCCTATTCTGAAGAATAGGCAACTGTTCTGCGGATTATCCTTCAGAGATTGCGGATTATCTTTCAGAGAAATCGATACAGAACATAACCAAGCAACTGTGATGCGGATCTGTAACTGCTGGATGCAGGAAGAAACAACGGACCGACGAGACCGATTGCACCCACCTCGTTGCACCACTGCACATGATGACGGGCATATCATGTGCATGGCAGTGATGGAGCGCTGTGCCACATCACGAACCATATCACAACAAATTCGGTCTGTTGCGCAACAATCGGTGTCTGCGCATACTATTTGATGTCGTTTGCAGCAGAGTGGAATGTCTGCAAGGCGTCCATTGCTGCGTTTACTGTTGAGTCAAAACCACAGGTGTTTGCGCTGGCAATGGTGCAATAAACAACGGACGTGGTCAACTGAATGGAATGACATTGTTTTTACTGACTAATCCCGCTTCTGTCTACAACACCATGGTGGTCGGTGACACTGTGGTGAGAGACTGCTGAACTGTTGCCTTATGCATTGCTATGCTGGTCCTAGACCCGGTATTATGGTTTGGGGTGATATTGGATTCCACTCCCGCACCCCCTAGTATGCATTTCCAGTACACTGACCAGCCAGCGCTATATCTCTGAAGTGTTGGAGCTTGTTGTCCTCCCATACCTTCAGAGCTTGCCAACGACCACATTCCAACAGGATAATGCACAACCACACATGGCACGCATTGCTCAAGACTTCTTCTTCACCCATCAGATTGCATTGCTGCCTTGGCCTCTTTGTTGTCCTGATCTCTCGCCTATAGAAAACGTCTGGTCGATGATTACAAAACAACTGGCCCAGGATACACCACTCGCTGCTACACCAGATCAACTTTGGCAATATGTGAAAGCAGCACGGAATGCTATACCTCAACAACATATCCAAAGCCTCTTTGACTCAATGCCAAGACGTGTAGCAGCAGTTATAGCCAGCAATGGCAGCAATACTCCATACTGATTCCATCATCTTCCTCACTTCACAAGAGACTGTATTTTCAATCATTTGATCTTTGTACAATGTTATCTCCCAAATAAATTTGGCTGTGATATCTTTGGTCCTTCTTGGTGTTGCATTTTGGATGGCCAGCAGTGTGCATTTGTCCATATTTAGTTTTGTCCAGTACCTGGAATGAGGATGGCAAACCTCCTAGTCCGTGTGCTACATATCGAACACAATCATCTTTAAAAATGTTTGTGTGTACCAAAGTTTAAGACTCGCAATAACAATATTTAAAGAAATAAAATGAATATGCTTTAATTATAATAAATATATGATAAACCAAAACTGTATGATACATTATGTGCCAGATGGTTTCTCCAGATATGCCATAGGTTTGCCACCCTAACCTAAAATCTTCCTTTTATAAACATATACAGATCAAGAGAACATTGAGTCCATGTGTTGCCTAGACCTCATGTAACCTAAAACTGTCAACCTGAAGACCAAAGTGGTTATGGCATCAACTACCACTCCGGGATCAAATCTGGACAAGCAACTCTCCAGGAATTTTGTGGGTGGTGGGTTTCAGATATGTCGAGCCCCGTCCTATACCGCTTGGCCACCCCATTGTGGGCCTGGCCGAACACACGACAGGTATGGACAAAAGACCCTCATAATACCCACAAGGTAGAAAGGATAAAAAGTTATTATTGAGTAGAAAATGTGTAAAAATTAGAAAAGCCATAAAAATCAAATTATTCAGTAAAAAATTGTTCATAGACTCAAACTTTATGCATCCCAAAAGTTATGAAGCTTCAAAATTGCTCTTAAGTTAACAAGATTCAAATTTAGCAAATAAATATTTTATCACTATTCTAAAAGACATTTTTTGTGTCAAACACTTCAATTTTAAATTGTAGATATAGTCCGATATTTGCACTGACATCATTTTCGTTACACCCTGACAAAATTGTGCCAAATATTGAAAACTTACTAACAAAAGTTAGTAAGTTTTCTTAAGCATAAGGAATTCTTCAGGTGAAACAATCTTCAACATAAAGAACAACCAGGCCTGGGAGTGCCATTTCCCCTCTGAAAATGTGAGAAAAGTGAGTTGAAATACAAAAAAAGTGAGTGCAATACAGGTAGCCCTCGATTTATGCTGGCTCAATTTACGTCGATTCACAATAACGCCACTGCGCAATTCGCCATATTGTGGTGTAATTCCCTGATTTTCCCTATGCTAGACTGATTTTCATTTCAGTGTTGACGTATTTACCAAGCCACGACATTGTATATTTGTTATAACAAAGATTTTTATTGAATATATTTATTTTTTTCTGTTTAATATTATTTGGTATGTATACATTTGCATTAAATTAATATTAAAATACTAAACATTTAGGTACCCACAAGTCAAGTTATTAAACTTAATAGTCCAATAAATGGTGTCCGAATCTATAGTGCCAATGAATTTATCTCTTATCAGATCGTTCAAGAAAACACTTTAAGATGCAGTAGCACTTCCGGCGATCACAAATTATCGTTAGTGAGACAAATCTACTTCTCGTTGGCCAGACGATATCTCTCTCTTCTTAGCCACCTTCAATTTTCCCGCTCAAACTGATCTTATATATGGGCTACAGCAACCAGTGGTCGACCGATCAGTGTCTCCACTTGTCTGTAGCTCTATGTCGGGTTAATGTATCCTTTCAACTATGGAAAGTTTGACGGATGAACTTGAGTTAGACAATGATTGGGAGAGAAGTGCAAATGTAAAAAGGAACATCATATTCGACCATATTCTGAAATTCTCAATGAAAGAAAACAAAAATGTAAACAATTAAAGATGGTCTTTAAGCCTCTGTTTTAAAAGTCTCATAGTGGCATCAACGTAAATGAGATCTGAATTAAAACGGTGGTCACTTAAAGGAATAGAATACACTCCTGTACTATTCCTTGTACAGGAATTGTTACGGTTTCCTTTCTTCTTATCATTTCATAGAATTCTATAAATTGTAAGATTACAATGATAAATCATTCTTAAATTATTCTTGTGAGCTAATTTTTTAATCCTCGAGTATAGGAAGGTTATTAAAGATGGATCATTTTTTCCGAAAAATGTACGAGATCCAAAAGTAAAATTATTTAATAAAAACATTTCACTTTATTTTATGATAAAATACATTTTAAAAATTAAATTTATATGTATTTTGCATTATATTGTATTAATAAACAAAGTTATTTGCTTATTTTTCACTTATGTAGAACCTAATGCTATACCTCACTGTAAATATGGGTTCATTTTACGCTGATTTGATTTGTGCCGGCGTTTGTAGGAATGGAACTGCGGTGTAAACCGAGGGCTACTTGTAGTGACAAAACAAAGTGAAAACAAGGAAGGAAAACTCAGCAAAATAGCAGTAAAAGTTTTTTCTTTTTATTGTTATGATTAAATACATTTTAAAACTTTCTGTATATACCGTAATATTTCCAGTAAACCATGAATACTTAATAAGTGTTTGGCTTTTTCTGTAAATAATCAGTCATGAAAGATGATGTTCTTTTATTAAGATTTTTCTGGATGTTTTCAGCTTCCTTCTTTTTTGCTTCCTCTTGCTTTTGAACACTTTTAACACCAACAAGCATGACATGTGCTGCCCGTATTTCATTCATATTCTTGCTATTAATGGCCTTCCCCAGTTTTTTGTTTGCTGCTTCTAACAAAACCTGGCCTGTCTCATGTATTTCACTTTCTTCTACTTTTTTCTGTTTTAAACTCTGCTGCAGTGCCATAATCTTTTCCTTGACATGAATAGCTCTCTTTTGATGTTCTTCAAAATTTTTCTGTACTTCCTCTTCTGCTCTTTTTTTCTATTTCTCTTTTTCTTTTAACTTCTTTTCATTTTCCAATTGATCTTGATAATTTCTATGTGCTGAGGCAGCTAATTTCAGTAAATCCTTTGTAATAGGTACAAGGTGTGGGCTTCGGTCATACATGTTTAGTCCCTCCTTAACAATCAAAAGTGAATTAAGCATTCTTTCTGACATTGATGCTCTATCAGGAGGAAGTGCCCGGC